GAGCTGGACACCAGGGTCAAACACTAGGCAATGAGGGCTGACTTGGCTGAGACATTTTATCCACTTTAGAAGTTTGAGGGTGGGGCTATGGATTTCTCTGAGGACTAAGCAGTGGCCAGATTAAGCCATGTTCAATTTCTGGGCTGGTTTTATCACAAGCCTTTTGTAATTTTCAAGGAAGTTGGAGCTGGGGTTGGTGAATTTTTTAAAAACCAATCTATGGTTTAAAAAAATTTGGTTGTATTGACTCTATTAATTGAGATTTTCCTCTAAAATGTGTTGAACAAATCATAATTCTTAATAGTTTTGTTTAACTAGAAGGTATAAACAGATTGTATGAAAAAAGGATTTTAAAAAATCACGAAAACCAAGAATTTGAGGAATGTTTTATACCTATGCAGAATCCATTTTACAGTTTAAATCTTATCAAGAATAGGTATTGTGTTTTATATGCATTTAATTTAAACACTCATAAAATACTGAACTTACCTATGATACTGATTTATATTCTAACACTGGAAATAAAACAAGATTATTTTTCTTTCTTTTGCAAAGAGCAAAGGGTTTCAGAATCGAGTTTGTCTTCAAGCAGCAGCAAAGGCTTGCTGACAAGATATTTTGGAACAACTTGCTATTAGGAAGGAAGTATGAGTGGGAGGTTGAGAAATAGCTCATGCCCATATGACACATACAAGTTGTGAATGTGTTAGAAGTCCATGATGTAGAACATAAAAGAGTGTAACAATTTATCTCAGTGACATAAAGGACCTTATTCTAATCTTTTGTTTTTACAACTCTATTCTGAATTAGATTTTCTTTCTCTCTCTCTCTCTCTTCTGTTCTCATTTACCTCAATCAGGTCATATGCTGATGGTTATAAACATTACAATTTATAACTTCATGAGAAAATGTAGAACCTGTCAAAATATCTTGAACAAATGGCATGGACTTTCATGGCAAAGCTATTTGCCCTTGTTATTCTAGGTATATGGCAAAATTGTTGCTGCATGAGAAATATCAGTGAATTTCGTCTTCTTTTTCATTTAATAATAATTTATAGTTTTAGCATTTCTTTATCTGAAACTGTCACGAGGGCTTTATATACAAGTGTCTCTGCATCCCACAGACATTGGTAGTAAAAATATACTGTCAAATTACTATCCCAGAACAAAAGATGATCAAGTGATTCTTTTCCACAATGTAGTACACATGAATTGGAAATCCATCCCATAATTTGTTCAACAAACAGTTATTGAGCTTCTATAATTTTCAAAACTCTTTGACAGATGCTTGAGGAATTTGTGAGAATCATGGTATTCCTGCTCTTGAGGACTTTCGAGTCTACTCTGGGCCCAAAGCCTCTGTAATCCCAGTTTCATCTCAACTATATCTCCTACATATATATTTTTTATATCCTCTAGCAAAGAGGCTCTTTCCTTAGTCCCTTTTAATACTCTGAATTTCCATATGGAACAAGTTTTGTCAATCTTCTGTAACAGTAATATATTTACTTATACAAGTAGACCGAATAGCTTGTAAGACTTTGGGTTCTCTGAGGACAGGAACAATACCTTATATGTCTATCTTCTGAAATACATTAGTACCTAGTACCTTAACCTTTGTAATGTAATATGAAATATTTTATACCCATATCACAAGGCAGTTTACAGGGAATGCCAGATGGATGGTGCAGATAATTAAGAGTTATGGGTTATAAAGAAGTTATAAAGAAGATGTGATATCTATCTATCTATATCTATACACATACATACAATGGAATACTACTCATCCATAAGAAAGAATGAAATAATGCCATTTGCAGGAACATGGATAGACCTAGAGATTATCATACTAAGTGAAGTAAGTCAGACAGAGAAAAGCAAATATTATATGATATCACTTATATGTGGAATCTAAAATATGATACAAGTGAACTTATTTACAAAACAGAAACAGACTCAAAGACATAGAAAACAAACTTATGGTTACCAAAGGGGAAAGCAGGGGGAAGGATAAATTAAGAACTTGGGATTAGCAGATACACGCTACTATACATAAAACAGATAACCAACAAGGTCATACTGTATAGTACACGGAAATATATTCAATATCTTGTAATAACCTATAATGAAAAAGAATATATGTATACATATAACTGAATCATTTTGCTGTACACCAGAAACTAATACAACATTGTAAATAAACTATACCTCAATAAAAAATAATTAAAAAAAAAAAGGAGTTGTGGGGAAAAAGAGGAGAGGAAGGCAATTTCCAACCTGAGGCCACATAGAAATGCTAATGGGGAGACAGTATTTGAATTACAGATGGATTGATACCCTTTGATTCATAACATTAATATGTTTATCCCTCCAAGTTTTTTTTTTTTTTAAATAAATTTATTTATTTTATTTATTTTTATTTTTGGCTGTGTTGGGTCTTCGTTGCTGCATGCAGGCTTTCTCTAGTTGCGGCGAGCGGGGGCTACTCTTCTTTGTGGTGCACGGGCTTCTCATTGCAGTGTCTTCTCTTGTTGCGGAGCATGGGCTCTAGGAACGCGGGCTTCAATAGATGTGGCATGCAGGCTCAGTAGTTGTGGCTTGTGGGCTCTAGGGTGCAGGCTCAGTAGTTGTGGCACACGGGCTTAGCTGCTCCGCGGCATGTGGGATCTTCCCAGACCAGGCCTCAAACCCGTGTCCCCTGCATTGGCAGGCAGATTCTTAACCACTGTGCCACTGGGGAAGCCCTGCCCCTCCAAGTTTTAAAATTTAAATTACCAAGTTAGCCAATGGGAAAAGAAGACATTCACAATCTATTTTTTGTTTGGACAGGTTACAAAAGTAATACATATTTTTTTCAATTATATCTTGTATATTATTTCAGTTATGGATTTATTCCATCCCAAAATTTAGTGAAAAAAGCAACAACATTTTATTTTGTTTATACTTTGAATTCATGAATTCAGTCAGGGCATAGCAAAGATGGCTTATCTTCTCTACATGATGTCTGGGTCTCAGCCGAGGTGGCTCAAACAGCTAGACATGGCTGAGATGATTTGCCTGGGGCCTCCGTTCTTTCTGCCTGTCACTAGAATTGCTTGGTTCTTCTCCACATTGCTCTTGCAGGCACTGGCCCCTGGGCTGGGGTGCCTGACACAGTTAGGGGCTCGCTGGCAACTCCATTTTCACTTCAGCCTCTCTATGTAGTTAGCTTGGAGATCCTCACAGCAAGATGGTCTTAAGGTGTACATGGTATCAGGAAAACTTCAGTGCACATTCCCATTCAAAAGGAGGGAATGAGAAGTCAGTAGTAGTCACCAGTCCATAGCAGTTCTGAAATCCAGCTAGGACAACGATGCCAGTTCCTTAATTAGACATTAGAGCCCAGTCGTGCTCCTTGGGAATTGTTTCCTATGTTTTTATTAAAAAAACAAACAAACAAACAAACTATATATATATATATATATATATATATTTGCCCTCGCCATTAGGTTTATTTATTTATTAGTTTTTAATTTTTAAAAATTTTATTGGAGTATAGGTGTTTTATAATGTTGCGTCAGTTTCTACTATACAGCAAAGTGAATCAGCTATACATATACATATGTTTCCTACGGTTTTAAACTCCACTCTTCAACCTACTGGATCTACACTTGGACTCATCCTTCCTTTCCACAGGAAATGGCCCAGGATTGCAGCTGTTTAACTTTCTTAGGTTGCTCTTCACCCATAGAAAGTTTGGAAAACCTATGATATTTTTATTCTGAACTAACTCCCTTCCATTTAATTCAATGTGTCAGTCCTTCCACCAACATAATTGGCTTTCTCAGGAATGTTACTGATGTTTATACTTCCCACAGATCTCTTTGAAACAGGTCACTCTCTATCTTGGGCTGAGAGTCAGTAGAAAGGGTGAAAGGGTCTAAGAGACAAATTTACTAGCATTTTTTTTTTTTTAGGTCTAGTGGAGAGGGTCTGTGAGGCATATCATTAAATCAACCTTCAGTCTCAACAAAGGGTTAGAGCTGCATTCTCAATCCCATCTTTAAACTGAGATGATATTCTACTAGTAGGTCCCTGGATTTGGTCAGTACCCTGAGTCCATTTCTTAGTCTACATGGTTAACTGTCCTTGACCCTCTATAATCCCTCTAAGTTGTGCTAAAATACTAAATACTTCCTTCTTAAGTTTATCTTTCTTTTCTCACATCTACCATATGTAGTTAGAAGAAGCCAGTTAGCACTTTCAACATTCTCCTTAGCCAGATCAATGAGTTCCTTAGGTACTCTTTCTATTTACCACATTTCCACAGGTAAGATAATATTTCTGCCAATACATAACTTAAGCCCCCTTCCTCCGACTTCCAATAATAGTTTCTATATTGTCCTTCTTGTCTTCACTAACAGGCTCTTTAGGTCCTTGCAGTGTCTTTCTATCACCAGTGTCAAAGTGATTGCCACATGTTTTAGTTTTTATGACAGAGAAACCCAGTTCTGGTGCCAATAGCTGTATCAGTCAGAATTCAATCAGGTATGCAGAAGTACTGTGCATATTAGGAAAAAGAAATGGGTAAGAGGAATCAGAATTTCAACACCTGTGAGAGAAGCTAAGAATGTAAAAGTCCAAAAAAAAGTAGTCATTATACCAGAGGACACCAGCCAGCCCTGACCCAGGTTAACGAGTTGGTCCTGTGTGGAAATCTGGAAGCTGTGCACATTCAGCTGAGAATCTGGGTCACGAAGGGAGGGGGAGGCAGGTGTAGAAATCCGTGGAAGGTTATTGGCTCTCCATGGCTGTTGTCTCTGTGAGTTCACAGCAAAGCCCTGGTGGTAAGCCCAGGGCTGCTGTTGGCCAATAGATGTGTCAGTCAGGCAGGAGAGCTAGACATAGGGGAGAGGGGAAAAGCTGGAAAGCACCTACAGCTCTGTATCTGCCTCTCATTTCCTCTAACTAATGAAGACCACTAGAGTGTATTGACTCTGTTTTGCTTCCACCTTCCAGAATGCACACAGCATTACATTGGTCAGCTAGAACCCAGAACCACACATGGAAGGAGCGGACAACAGAACAGTATGTAACTGTGGTGACTGAAGAAAACGGGAAATTTATAAAAACATGTAAAGAAGCAGAATAAAAGTAACCCATATACTCAGTACTGAGAGATAAATGCTATTAACATGGAACAGAGTCTCATCTTTTTCTTGAAACATTTCTATTTTATTATAGGAGATTTAGCATCAGCAATTTGCTTATGAAGTATGACGTAGTGATTAAGGGCCCAGGTTTTGGGTTGCTTTGCTAGGTTTGAATATTAGATCCCTCACTAATAACTGTATCACCTTTGGGTAAAATAATGAACACCTGTTCCCTCTGTTTATTTTATCTAAAATGAGGATAAAAATAGTACCTACGTGTGTTAGGTAGAATATGGCCTTCTAAAGATGTCCATGCCCTAATCCCCAGAACCTATGAATATGCTAGGTTTCATGGTAAAGGGGAATTAATATTAAAGATGGAATTAAGTTTGCTAATCAGCTGACTATGAGATGCGTAGTTTATACTGAATTATCCAGGTGGAACCCCAACGTGACCACAAAAGTTGTCATAAGTAGGAGAGGCAGGAGAGAAAGAACCGGAGATATGGTAGTCTGAGAAGACTCAGCCTGACCTTCCTGCCTTTGAAGATGGAGAAATGGTGCCACAAATGAGGAAGGAAGGCTAGAAAGTATCTAGAAAAGGGAAGAAAATGGATTTTTCCTTAAAGCCTCCAGAAGGAACATAGCCTTGCCAACACCTTGAGTTTAGTCCAATGAGACCCAGTGAACTGTAAGAGAAGAAAGTTGTGTTGTTTTAAATCACTAAGGTTTTGATAATTTGTTACAGCAAGAATAGGAAATTAATATGTGAATTCATGGGATTGTTGTGAGAATTAAATGAGATGATACGTGTAATCATGATTAAAATAGATCCTCGTACATGGTAACTGTTCAATAAATGTGATTATTTTCTAGAAAAAATTATAATTATATATGTCATACATATAATTATAATTCAATGTTATATGTATACATAATCTCCTGTTGTTGCATAGTTCAGTTGTATTCAATTTCCTGTTATTAGAAAAATACTTCAATGGAAAAACTCTATGGAGACCTGTCTGTCTTGATGCCTATTACAGACTAACTGGCTAATACAATGTTGGACACATAACAGGGGTCTATAAATATTCATTAATAGATAAATAAATAAATGATTTGTGCCTATGTATTTTTTTCACATTTGTCTTTTGTCTTTAGGCTAGATTCCCAGACGCGGAATTACTGGATCAAAATGAGCTGAACATTTTCATGCTCTTTATACCTACTGCCAAATGGATTTTCAGAAAGGTTACACTAATTTACACTCCCACAGCATTGTATGAATGTGACTTTGTCATCTTACCTATACTAACATTCAGTATGCTACATTTTAAAATCTCTGATAACCTTTTGCCTGTTTTTATCATTCCTTTAATTGTCTCTTATTTATAATGTTGAAAAACTCATTTATGGTTATTTTTTTTTATTGGTCATTTTTATAATTTCTTTTGTAAATTCTTTGATGGTTATTTTCAAATTACAAGTTATATTAAACATAAGAAACATAAGAAAGGTACAGAAAATAATAAGCCCTTCTGAACCCACGGGCAAAATTTGACAAATGTTAGCAATTTTACAGTATTAGCTTCATTTATTGATTTATTTATTTTTGAAACAGAATGTTTTAACTATATTTGAAATGTCTTCTATTCTCCTTTCTTCCCCCACCCTCTTCCTAGGGAGTACTTACTTCTGCAGATTCTTGTTTATGTTTTTGTTTCTTTTATGTGTTCACATACAACACACATGCACTCACTGTTAGTATGTGTGATTCTTTTCCTCATATTATCTATTTGCTTTTCCAGATAGTATTTTCAGTCAGTATTTTTCATATGAATCAATTAGTTCTTTGTGTCATTGGATTTTAACTCTTTGCTTGTCATATTTGCTGTACACATTTTTCCAGTTAGTCATTTTAATCATATTTGTTTCTAAATTGATTTCCATCTGATCACATTTCTTTGAAAGTCAGTTACTTCAACTGATTTTTATTGTGTAGAATTAGAACTAAAATTGTATGATTTTCATTCATATATTTGGTTTAATGGCAAAGCATCACTGTAGTAATTATTAATGTTTTCTGATTTATAATTTCTAATCTTAGAATGAACTGCCGTAAGTGGAGACTTGAAGGCAGCTATTAAAATCTGTTATCATCTGATTATTTTAATATGGAATTTGCAAAACTTAAGATCTCTAAAGGTCTTATATCTTAATTCTCTCTTTTTACAATCTCATAGTGGAGGATGAAATGATAGTGATTTCATTAATTAAAATTTATCAAAAGAAAAAAAATTCCAGAGACAATTTAATATTCATCCAATTTCAAGTAATACTGGTAGAACACAATTTTCCGAGCTATTAAAAGTAAAGGAGTGAAACGTGAGCTTTTCAGTGGTAAGCTCCCCTCATCTTAATGGAAAGGTGCTAGAATGCAATGAACATTGTTTAAGGGTGTGACATTTTCCTGAAAAATAAAAATGAATTTAATCAAATAGATGTAGGTATAATAAAATGGCTTCCTAGTATACACAGGCAAGAGGTTATAAAAGAAAATGTATTCAGGACTTGTGACTTAAAAATAAAAAAACTTTATGTTAAAAAATCAGATGAAATTATCACATAATTTGTCAGTACTTCCACTAAACCTGTAACATATCGTCAGTGGGTAAAAATCTAGGAGCCACTTTCTAATAAGTTTTTTTTAGATGCAAACTACCACAAAAGAGAGGCAAAAATGAACCAATACTTTGTTGTGGGCATTTGTGGAGAAAGAGATGATTTCCCCTTGCCCCCAGGAAACATATAAAAATATAACCACTTGTCGGACTAAAAGAATAAGCGTAATTTTAAAATCTCTCATTGGAAAGTGTGTTCAGTGTACAGTAGCTCTGTTTATGAATGTTCAGAAATCTGCAGGCAGAGCTACAGGGATATATTTCCACCTTTGAAAATAGCAATTACCTAATATAAAAGTGTTCAAAATTTTGAACTTATGCCCATAAAACAAAACAATAAAAAGCGGCTGCATCTAATGTTATATCTTTGAACAGAGATATAATAAAAGCAAAACAAAAACTGAAGAATTAACAGCTAGAAATTAGATTTAGCTGATATTACCATGTGGAAATATTTCATTTAAATATATGTGAACTTTTAATACATTTCAATAAAACAAACATACAGGCACAATTAAGCCTACACTTATTAAGTAATAATAAGTACAAGAAATTAAAATGTGTTTTGGTGAACTCTCTGTTAAGAATGTACAACCACTTAACCTATCCACTCTGATTTTAAATCAGCACCCTTCAGCTTTCCCTCAGCCAGCTCTGCTGGAAACTGGCAAAGAGCACAAATGGAGACTAAACTTAGATTCTACTGCTTTCCTCCAAAACGGCTCATCAATTTAAAATACTCGGGCAAATAAAACTGACAAGTGGCTTTCTACACTGAAAATACCTAAGCGCTACGGAAATGTTAATAATTTGTCTTTTACTTCTCTATTCATGTAAATAAGAAAGGTCACAAATTTCGAAAGAGATAAGGCACTATTTTGGGAAATAGTTTCAGGAGTGAAAACATTAGAAGGTAGGCTATTTATAAGCTGTAACTTTCTATAATCTGATGTAAATATGTATTGGCAGTGGAATAGCCAGACTTGAATTTGAAAACTTGCTACTGATATTCAGAAAGCTTGCTACTGTTTCATTATGATTTATTTATTGATTTATTTTTCTGTCAGGATTAACGTATATGGCAGACTATCTTTAGTAACCTGACCTAATGGTCTATTTCATCTACTCCTTCCCAAACCCACCCTACTGGAGGGAACCTTTCCCAAGTGCCCTGGGAAGAAATCTCCTTGGGAAATTCTTCAGAAGGCTATTTAGAGAACACATGGTGACTGAAATAGTTTCTGAGGAGATGCATTGGCTTTTCTTGAGGGAGGGACTGTCTGGGCCTCCCTTGCCAGATTCTTCTGTGGATACTTCTTTGCTCTCTCTGGTCTTTAGCCTGGTGGAAATTTATTCCATTAGATTTAAATAATTTTTTTTTTTTTACAGAAAGAAATTTCACATTAAATACTCATTTATAGTAAGAAGTATGGAAAAGAAGTAAAAAGGGAAAACTGAAGAGAAGGAATGGGAGGATGTGACTGGAATCCTAAAAGTTTAGAAAGCATTAGAAATGTAGAGTTCTGGGTGCCACCAACTGGACACTGGGATGGAAACTAGAGAATGCCTCTATGACACTTTTTGCTAGCAGCTCTTGAACAGTAGAAAGATGAAGACATATTTTAATAAATGCGTATTCTGGGTGAGATCTAGCCTGTCTGGCAGAGATTGTAAAATAAGGGAGTCTGAATTTTTAATTACACTTGTAACCTACATCTTATTAATTTCTAAATAGTTTTGTCTCTAACCCATTAGCAAATAGATTCCCCTATGAACAATATAGTTCTAAAGATATTGACTTAATTTCCAAGGATGTTGTATTTTTATTTTGTTGTGTCTTTTTCTTCCAGGTCCACAGGTAGCATCCCTACTGCGGACAGCCATGATCTTTTAAAAATAAGCTTACATTTTTTAAAAGAAACTTTTAAATTAGGTCTCTCCTAAAGCTTTCCACAGACATCCAGTTGTCCAGGTCTAGCAATTAATCATGAAAATAACATGTAGAAAATGAATAAAGTACATAGACTAATGTGGAAACTTCTACTATCTATCCAATACTAGCCTCAATTTCAGAACTGATGATGGGAAATATCTTGTTGATTGAGACTGATAATATCCAATTCAGGTCTTTCCATCAGGAAGACAAAGATCCTCCAAGTCAAATATTATCTTCATAAAGAAAAGAAGGAGAGGCTCAAACGACAGGCTCAGCTCCTGACTAATTGCCACAAGAATACAATGTGTGGCTTTTCTGCTAGAGAGCTAAATTGGCACACTGTACCTTCTTGTTGGAATTAAAAGATGGCTGGGGGGGAATACAAGAATACTCTTATAAAAAAAAGTTAGGAGGTAATCTCGTTATAAGTTTTCCAAACTTCCCTACTGAATGTTTGTTCCAAACTTTATTTAAATAGCATGTTACAGCGATACCTCATTTACATGGTATGTCAAAGTGTTATAATTTCCACATTTCTAGAATCCCAGGTCCAAGACAGCATTGCATAATGAAGGGAAAGGATACAAGATTTCTAGGAATGAATTTCAGTGTAAATAATAATCAGTGATTCTATCAACCTTCCAAGGACAATGAGGAATCTATGATGTAGTGTTTGTTATATGCTCACTCTTTTTACCTTCTATGGATTTCGGCACTTCCCGTAAACATGGAATAGGGCTTTATTACACGATGGAGTATTTTTTAATTCTGTTATTTTTTTTTTTTTTACATTTGTGTTCTATCACAAAATTCATCTAAGCATAGAAATGGTTGTTTCTCATTGGGGAGTTTATCTGCCAAAATGTTATTGCTATAGGAAATGTATGTCACATTGGATTATCACTTGGCACTACCAAGCCAGAACAGTGTGAGCTTTAAACTTGGTTTAAAGAAATCTAATTAGTATCAACTGAAAAAGAAGATCCCTAAAGATATTTCGTTTTTACTTTTCCTAATATAAAAGGTGATTTGTGATAAAATTGTTAATCTATTATCATTTTTACTACACAAGATCAAATTTGACATTTTTAGAGCATATTATTCTTAATAATAGTCAGATTTCCTTAAAACAAAATTAAAGATATAGAAGTGGGGGGAAATGAAATGAAAAGAAAATATTATTCTTAGTGAAAAGCAGCTGTGAGGGAATTAGTGAATGAAAATATTATAAGACTGTAAAGCACTTGTAACTCTATTAAGTACAGTTCTCCAGACAAATTTATTGTTTTATTTATTCAATCAATAATAATTTATTGAGTAACTACTATGAGCCGGGTACCGTGTTAATGAAGGAAAGGCAAAGACACTATGAAGACTGCAAAGACTATAAATAAGACTTTATCATTGCCCTTACCCACTTTATGATCCAA